GAATCCTTCCTTCCTTCCTGGAATCCTTCCTTCCTGGAATCCTTCCTGGAATCCTTCCTTCCTTCCTGGAATCCTTCCTTCCTTCCTTCCTGTCAATTCATTATTCCAGATGCAAGAGAGTCAAATTAGTACTCAAGAAACAACTGAACTTTGTGGTGTTTACCTGGGTATTGTAACACTTGAAGGTTCGCCCACCACTAATATTTATTGTATTTTGCATTATTTCTTCTGAAAAAAGTCTTGGAATGTTTAAAAATGTGCTTCAACTCTGATATGAGTGTGATATGTAGAGAAGATGTCATTTTTCCATAGAAGATAGTTTAGAATATTGCTTGATGTTTTTTCTGCCCAGCCTCACTAATCTTACTAACTGCTTCCAAGATTATCAGACATCTGCAGCATTTTTCTGCATTAAGGAAAAAAGTTGACTGGAGTGATACCATGTCACTGAAACATGCCTGTGTTTAACTCTAGCAGACTAATACAGTCTTTTTGCATGTGTGTTGCATAGAATGTATGCAAATATGTAAAGTGAACTCAAATCTCTAGTATCATTGCAGATCAAAAGGATAAAATATTTTAAGTAAATTCATCCTAAGAAGATTTAAGATGTGAAAAAATTGTTGGCACTAAAATCTTTCCAAAAATAGTATCCTAGAATGCACAATATTAAGGTGAAAAATTACCCAGCCTCTGGGCTAAGGGGTAAACTCATTACATTATTGGATGTTATATCAAACTTCCCCTGATGTCACTGGAACTAAAACTTATTTTCTTGAGGTTATGTGAAAATATAGAAAATGTAATTTCCAAATGACTTTGCACCCCTCATGTAGAAAAAATTTACCTCTTGTGATTTTAGACACTTTGGGATCAATGAATGCCATGTGCTGGTAGTTAATTGCTTTATTTTTAGGACCTTGAGAGTCTTAGGATTGGTCTGAAATCTAATAATAAAAAATGAATCCCCTTTTGTTTTACCCCAAAAATCACAAAATAATTTTCCAAATAAATACACTCATTAGAAAATAATATTTGAAATCCATCTTGAGAAGTTTCATAGATCTATTTGAAAGCTTTTGCAGATATATGCTCTTGTTGGAATTACAATAGCAGAATACTACTTTTACCTTAGTTTTGTCTGATGCAGATGATAACTGATTTGATGGCCTTCATGGATAGAAGCAGTGTTCCTTCACTATGCTCAATATCATGCTAGAGTTCTTAAAGGAGTTTTTCTTGAGTTCCAGCCCAACTTTCCCATTTTTCCAGTGCTTTTCAAGTAAAGATTGATTTCATGTGGCTTTGATGAAAAAGAAACAAATATGAAAGATTTTGTCTGTTTCACGTTGAGTTATGACATTTGATTTATAACTAAAGTATGAAACTAGAGGGGTGCAAACTCACAGATTGGGGGGGAAAAAGTGAAAGAGAGGGAAATCTGTCATCTCAGCAACACTAGCTTTTGTGCATCACTTCTACATATGTAATCACTCAAATGACAGTGTTTCAGTAGGTCCAAAGTACCTTTCTGAGTGTCTGACTTCTCAGTTCATAACACTGTGCAGGGGGTGCTACTAAAATGCAACTAGTTTAAACCCAGTTCTCTCATCTTGCCATGGTAAATATTACGTCGAGGGTTTAATAATGGCAAGTACAGTCTGCACTGGGCAGTGCAGTGCTGCTGATAGCTAGTTTCTACATATTAAGGAATATACTAATACCCTGTTATTGTTTAGAAATCCACAAAAGTCAGTTTTTGCACTTCGAGTAATAATCATAGAATATATTCTGTATATGATAAATTAATAACGTGGCTGAGTTATTCTTAAAAGAGCTCTGGGACAGTTTTTCCTCTTATTTGGCCCGGAGTATATCTGAACTACCATCACTAATTGTGTAATTAATTAGTTTCTCATTAGCTATTATTGTTTTTAAGTACTTTTAGTTAATTGTAATCTGTTATCACACAATTCAAAATACATGCTTAGAGGGAAGGCTGAGAAGAATTAGAACTTCCTAAATAACTTTTATTTGTTTTCTATTAATGGATTCTTTTTAAAATCTCCTACCACATTCCAGATCTTCTTCAGATTGCCTAAGAGCAGAATTTAGTTCCTTATCTTTGAAATCCTCTTGATTATCTAAGGGGTTTCTCTATGATATTGCTTTAATATTTTTTTCACTGAATTGCCTTTAAAGAATGTAGAGTAGCTAAATATACCCATTGAAACAACTGTTCAATGCACATTTGATGTGATTACATTCTGCATATCTTTCTCCTTGCTTGAAATTGCAGATCTCTGCTATTACAGCAGCATGCTATTGCAGCATGCATTGTATTTATGAAATTTATTAGTACTGGGGCATGGAGTTTCCACATAGCTATAGTTAGACTATGCCATTGCCTTTCCCCAAGTAACCATCACTCCTGTTTGGACCTAAAATGTGCATTCTCTTGTGCAGTGCTCTGTACCTCATTCATAGAGGCAGAGAGATCTCACGATTAATGAAAGTTCATGTCAGAGCCAAAGCTTTAATTTGAAAGAAGAAAAACCAAAACAAAGCAGATCCTTTTTCATTCAATTTCCTTCCAAAACCTCTGAAAAGTTTAATATTTGCCCCAGATATCCTACTTGGTGGCAGAATTTTATTTTCAGGACCTGAACGTGTTCTCTGTTTCCAGTTTGTGCTTTCAAGTTCAAGTTTGTGCTTGCTGAACATCAGGTCTAGGGAATACCATTTATTGCATTATACTATATTGGCCTTATTTCTCCTTGAGGTCACAAATAAATGATAATAAATATAATCACAGCTATGCTTAGAGTCTTTTACAATAAATTAGTAATATTAGATATGGCCCTTATCAGCATGGTTTCAGTTTGCAACTGACTGGAGTCCCTTTCTCTCCTGCTAAATCTGCTTTCTTATTTTTTACAGATGGATCCACATGAAAATATTTTGTTGAGCACACTTGAAATTAAAAATGAGATGGCTGCCTCTGAGGCTGTGATGGGGCTTGGGGACCCTAGGAGCACAATGCTGGCCTATGACACTTCGAGTATCCAGTACCGGAAAGCTGGTTTGCCTAGACACAGCTTCGGCCGCAATGCCCTGGAGCGACATGTGGCACAGAAGAAAAGCAGGCTACGGAGACGTGCGTCCCAACTGAAAATCACCATCCCTGACTTGACTGATGTAAATGCCATAGATCGATGGTCTCGCATATTTTTTCCTGTTGTTTTTTCCTTCTTCAATATTGTCTATTGGCTTTATTATGTGAACTAAGAAACAAAGCCACACAGGAAACAAGAACTGGATTTCTCTTCAAATCGGTTGTACAGCCAAAAGTGGGACTTGGAAAAATTCTATTCAGGACAAAAGTTATTTTAAAACACCTTAGTTGCTGGCCCACTCTCTGGTCTGTTTTTATAATGTTTTGGTTGTATCTGCTAAACCGTATGTATGTTAAGTTGCAGTATGGACATATCCCCTTATCAAAATATAAGTACATTTAAGTGTAAAGGCAAATAGGGTTTTGAAAATCACTTCTGTCTCATTGTCCTTCAATCTTTTTTCTTTTTTTTTCCTTTTTCCTTTTCCTTTTTTTTTAATGGCCATTTGAGTTTAGTGGTACAAATTATAGAGCAACATTTGAGAAACAAGTTTTAATTTCAACAGCAGTACATGCCATTCTAGGGAAAGTGACATGCATATACACTTGAGAGTATACTGAGTTATCATGCTTATGAAGCACATACACTTTACTTTTTAAATGTGTAAACTTGAAAACAAGTAGTGCCTATCATCTTTCCAAGATGATGATGGTCAGAGGCTTCCCAATCATATTCAGGTATTTCCTTTTATTTATGTACAGAACTGAACCTTTGACTGATAATATTGGGGTTGGGTGTTTGCACAGAAGCTGAAACAAGAAGCACTAGTTTGTATTTTAGAATCACAGTGACTGTGTTTGGGATGAATAGAGGAATGTAGGGATCGTATTAAAATGCATCAGGACTGAATGGATAGATGCTGCTGGGTTGTGTTGAGGAAAAGGAATATGTCTAAAGTGCCAAAATTGATTGCCTAAATAGTAATCTGTAGGTGGCTGACAGAAACCAGTGGTGCCCTGTCTTTCTCTAGGGCAGGGAGAGTGAGAGAGCAATTACGAAGTGCAGGGGCAAGGAGACAGGAGGCTACATATACATAAAAGTGTGTGTGTGTGTATATATATATGTAAATACACGGTACAGATGAATGTTGTCAGTTGTACACAGCTTAGTTCTGAAAGAGTCATGTGGAGTTGTATGATTTCTTCCAAGTTTTCATCTTTCCAGCATCATGCTTCCTGCTGTTTGTTAAAGGTTCTGTACCTCTTTCAGCAGTTGTGATCTGAGCATACATATTTCTGTACAAGAGATAGTAACAGAGTTTTTGTTTTCTCAGCCTGGATTAGGCAATACCATTTCACTTTTTGTTTTCCATAATGCACTGCTCTAAAGGAAAGAAATTCGTAGCAATCACTTTAAGAGTTTAAGTACACTCGAATATTTTCAGCTTTAGGGTAATTTCCATTAAAAAACTAGAAAATTTATTTTTCATTGGGAAACTTCTTGAATTAAAAGGTTGAGTTTTTTCAGTCTGTTGATCTTTATTTTTACAGGCAAAATAGAATAGAAAAAAATAATTTAGACCAAAAAAAGTTTGTCACTTATTCCACTGTGGAACTTCTTTTGTAATGAAAACAGCAGTCACAAGAACTGTATAAAAAGTAAAAATTCTTGATGGCCTTTACTAGATCAGATCCCCAATATTGTTTGACATAATGTTTCAAGAAGAAAAAGCCACATCTGTTGCATCCATACTACCTCTCATTTATGTACAAATTTTTGAAAGAAACTAGAGAGTATAAATGTTTTTTCAGGGTACTAAAAAATTCTTTAGAATATTTTTCATAAAATATTTTTTTAAATTTTTTTTGTTCCTACTTTAAAAGAGTAATTTTCGTACAAGTTTATGTGGTTTTATTTTTGGTTCTCCTTCCCCCCCCCCCCCCATTTGACAGTGAACAGCGTGAATAGGAGGAGAACAGTTCTGAGAACTAGTAGGCAAACATTCTGACTTTTTCTTTGAGCATTTCATATGCTTATTTCTGATTCAAATAAGAGAGGATATTTTCAGAGCCTGCAATGGGATTTGCAATGCACCCTACCTGCCAGGAAGTTGTGTACATTCACAAACTGCCTCCAGGCTCAGACTCTGCAATATGTGGAGATAGGTTTCCCTCATGTGATTAACTTTCCAAGTCAAAATTTTGCTCTTTGGTTCACAAACTTAATTTGTGACTTCATTTCATGCATAACGCAATAACCTTTGTAGATGCACTTGGGATTTCAGCTGATAGGTATGAGTCATGTTGGATTTTTTCCCCAATTTTAAGAAATGGAGCATATAAAAATTTAGTATTTCTCTTCAAAATCTGTTCTTTAAAAATTATATTAATTATCTTAAATGAAAGCAGTTTTATAGTATTCTTCTGTACAAGCTTTTCTTTCATTGCAGAAATTGGTGACAGCTCCTTTTACTGTTTCACAGAGGAAGAGTGTGACTGCAGGGAGTTCACAGCCTCTCTGTGGTTGATACACATTAAATATAAAACCTTACAGGGAATATGTTGACTCTCTGCATTGGTAACTGCTTCAGCTACGAAAACCACAGAGTTTGAATCCTGGAACTGCTCATTTACTTTTCTGAAGCTACAGTACAAGCCATAATACTCTCTGAGATTGCTATTCAGAGAGTGAAAGAAAATGTTTGGTTTCTGCTCAGGAGTCACTAGGAAAGATAAATTATCTGGGGGGAAGGAGCACTTTTGCTTTTACTATGTTCTTCTGGCTATTAATGTGATGTATAAAATTAGTAAAAGAGAAAGACTCTACCATTTTGTACTAAGGCTTAACACTGTGATATAAAAAGATGGTAGTGAGAAAGGTTGGTGAGGCACTGTCAAGGAAAGAGCATAACTTGAGCCCAAGGTAAGCACTTACTCCTGAGATACTTGAGTGAAAGTGGGAAATGATGCCAAAATACATGAGATACGGGGTTTGCAATGTGTGCTACCCTCCAAGTAAACTAGAATAAATTTGCTTTTACTTTAGAATTAACTGAAAATGAGTATTCTTGATATTTTTAATCATGTCAACTGTTGATTTCAATTAAAAAATAGCAAAGTTAATAATTTAGATAAAACTTGTAATATAATCATAGTTGCACATTTTATCATTCTATTAGACATAATAGCCAGCAATTAAGGTGTTTTTCATCTTTGTGAAATTAATGGGGGAATTATGACTATAACATGGCACAGTTTTAATGAAATCTTTAAGATCAATCTGTAAATATATACTGTACATGACTGCTAGTAAGTATGATACACATTTTCAGAACTGAAAATTCATGAAACATATTTCTGTGTTTGCATAAGGAATGTTATGTTTCTATCCTATTGCAGCTCAATGACTGGTAAGAAAGACTCAAGCAATGACATTGTGACCATTTCTTTTCTCATTCCCAGGAGAGGAAAACAGAGTCCTAGATAACAGCATGTAACTGAGTTCTTCAGAGAGTTCTTACATTCTAATAAAAAAACCCATAAAATCTGGAAGGAACAAAAGCACAATGCATAGAGAAAATGAGTGGTGGTCGTACACTTGGGGAAAATTTCCTATTTATTTCAGAAAAACATGCATTAAAATTAAACCTCAATTAATTTTCACTCTAATTGTTAGACTGTGTTCCAATCCTATAACACAGTGCTAAATGTAAGTGAACAGATGTGAAATATTTTCCAACTGTATGTGCATATGGACGTACCCCCCAATGTCTGTATGGACATATGTGTGTATATATACACATGCTGAGTATATATATATATATATATATATATATGCACACACATTCACATGGTGTGTTAAAGGAATAAGCCAATAATAGTTTTGTTTCTACCATCAACCAGTGTATGAATATATTTTTGAGAAAAAAAAGATTAATGTATTTAGAAAAAAAGCAAACAACTTACTCTACAGGGTAGCTGGGCATTTCTATATCAGCAGATCATTGCTTATGATTCATATGGAGTATTGCACCGTTTGACATGATGATAGTACTGTACCTCCTTGCATCTGGAATTAGACTAGTCCTCACATTGCTTGCCTATTTCTTCTCTCTCTTTTTATAACAGCATTGTCCACTAGTAAGTTTTCAAAACCAACAAATTCCTTAGGGAACCAAGAAAAAAAAAAGGCAAAAATAGTAACTATTTCTAGAAAATAATCTAGGGTGAGATGGCCAGGGTGCAATACCATATCAGTAGTGATCAAAGCATTTTGCTATGTGTATATAAAACATACAATGTGAGCAACCATAACTTAAGCTGAACGTGTGTAAATACTATCAGATTTCTTAAACATTTTTAACTTCTAATTTGTACTTTATGGTAAGGCAAAAAGCTAATTCTACTTATGGTTTAGGTTAATGTGTTCTAAAATTATGTAAATAGTTAAATAAGCTGTAAATGAGCAGTTGATAGATACAGTATTTGTTTAGTGACTTTTTTTTTTACTAAGTACAATAATTACAGTGCTCTAGCAGAGTAATTTAAACACCCTTTTGCATAAACAGATTTGGATTCCAGATACAAAATAGTACAGAAAGTGCTATAGTGTAAAATAGCCACCGTGGCAATGTTTCTGCTGGTACAGATGATTCTTTTGTATGGTTAAAATATTCAGGCCACACACTCAGTACTCAGATTAGCCAAGACAAACAGGGCCTGGTTTTTACTTACCATAAAGCACCTTTATGTTGCTCCAGTGAGTGAAGAGGTGAAGGTGTCCAAGGGTAAGTGAGAATTCAGCTGTCAGCGATTTCATTACAGAAGCCTGCATATTGCATCTGTCTCTTTTGGAATTTAATAGTAGACTTATATTCTTTAAAAAAAAATGCAGAATGTTTGACTGTCATTAGATAGCATGATCCCCAAAGCCAAAGAATCTTCACTCTAGAAATTGTTTAAAAGGGAAATCTAAAAAAGCCACTGCTTAACACCAAAGGTAAAGTTTAGTAAAATGCACTAGGAACTTTGTCTAAATTTTTAAGAAGGAAAAGGATTGTTGTTGATCAAAAAGACTGCCCTATTCTACTTTGTAAAAATCCTAATAATTTAAAATCTATTACATAAAATTGAAATAGTTCATCTCTACAAGAATATGCAACACTACCATTTCATAAATATAAATTTATTTTCTTTGTAAATGCTTTCACAAAAAAATGAAATTTAAATGATGAAAAATCTCACCTCTACTTTCATACTAAGGGTTGTATTTTTTTAATGTTTTTCAGACATTAGGTCATCTATTCCAATTTGATACCATTTTGTGTGTTTTCACTGTTCCTGTCATTTGGCAGATACTCACCAGGCTGTATGGTTCGTGCTCTGTCCTGTTACTTTCAGTTGAAGACAAAAAGAACATTTGAAACATGATTAATTCTGACAAACTGCCTACGATTTGATTTCTATTCACGTTTTTATTGGCATGGGTGTTTAAATGGTTCTGTTAGTACTGTCTTTGCGCAGTTCTGAGTTATCTTTTACTTAGTACTATTTATTTCATAATGTAGTAATCATCAGCCTTACTAATAACCTTGTAGCCTTTCTTATATGCACATAATGCACATTTTCCAATGGCTAGAAAATGCAAAATACTAATGGATATCATTGCATCAGATCTTCATGTCTTTCTCAAAAGGACTGCTAACCTCTGGGATATATGAGGTAGTAAATTGATGATTGTAAATGAGTAGCACATAAGAGATATTTTCTTGAATTTAAATTATTGCAGCCAGTTTCAGCATGTAAATATATAATAATGTTGGCTAGTGTGTAATTCTTGAATTTGAAAATATAAATAAAGAAAACCTAAAATATGTACATGTAGTTGTGTCATGTTGGGCAGGCTTTTTCCTCAAAGCTGCAGTGAAGTGAGTAACTCTGAGTTTGGGTCAGAAAGGGATTCAGAAGTTGGATGTTGAGGCACCTGAAATGTAGGTGTAGGATGGGAAGGGGGAACCATACATGGTGTTAATTTCCCTGTGCAGCCCTTGGGGGACTTGAGTGTCTGAGGAGTATAAGCAATGTACAGAAGCCTGGTGCTGGTCAGTATAGAAATGCTGAGAGGAGGGGGAACAGCTGAAAAATCTCAGAAGTTCAGTAATTCCTCCTCAGAGTCAATTCTTTTGAATTTGTTACTGATGGTGAATTGCTGGTGTCCCCCTTACAGAAATATGGAAGGGTCTGTTTGCAGGGGGGGTGGTATTTCCTTTTACAGTAAATGGTCTTAAATCTGAATATACGGACTTCAGATATGTAAGTCCCAAGTTTCATGCCTTCCTGTTCCTACCTGGGCTCTAACAGGAGAGATTCTGCATGACAAATTATTGTCCCTTTCAGGATGGTGGATTTAGAGTTTCCTGTTGGAGAGGTTCAGTTGAAGACCAATTCAAGAAGAGCAGAGCAGAGGAGAGAGCAGTCAGGCATGGTCATGAGAGGCTCTGACTGCTTTGGACAGGACTGTAGCAGGGATTAGAAGCTAGGTCTCTCATTGTGCTCCAAAGAAGTCAAATGTCCACTAATACAGGTTTGGTTTTGCTGTTTCTTTCTGTCTTAGTGGAATCTTAAGCATTAAATATACTTCAGACTTACACTTGTTTGCTGGCTGTGCTGAGTGAACAGTTCATGTCTATTAGTTTCTCTTCTTGTCTTCTGTCTCATCTCTAATAAAAGGAAATCCATAGTTATGTTTCCAAACCCCAAGTATTATTACATGGGGGATATTACAGAGTGCTTATTGGTAGCTTTAGCTGCATACACCCGCAGATGATCCTTTGGCAGATCCTACCAGGGGGAGCAGATGGAGCACCAGAAAAGGGAACAAATGGCCATCAGATAAAAGACTGCCAAAAGCAAAAACTGCCAAATTCTCATTTTTGTCTGGAAATGCAGACAGCAGTTGGTAATTCCTTTTGAAGTTATCTACCTGGCTACCAGCCCCACAATAGCACTGTTTTAATGATTGATCTAGTCTGTATTTCTGTGGATAAAAGACACCAGTTCTGCAGAGAAAGCAGAGGCTGAAGAAGGGAAAACTTAAGTCTTACAAATGGGACTGAAGTGAGGAGCTGCTGGGTGCAGGGTGCTGACTCTGTGTCAGGGACATAGAACACGACAAGTAAAATCTTCCAGACTGTTAAGGAAAGCTCAAATATTACTTTCTTACCTCACCTTTTAAAATACCACATCTTTCTCTGAAGCTTCTGAAAAGGAGAGCAAGGTTCTGAAAAAAGACTGAAATGTCAGCACAGTTGCTTTGTTACGACTCTGTGATATACTGTTACCCCTTATTTTCAAGATTATTACAAGCTAGGAAGCAAAGTATTTCAACTTTAAGACTGGTTCATGATTTCAGAGACTAAAAATATTTATATTAATTGGTGACTATTATTTTCAAATAAAAAATGTCTATCTACTGTTTCATTTGTCTGTGTTTATAAATGCATATTATGTTATCACATCCTAACAAGAGTTAAATCGACTTGCACAAA